GCAGGGTTTAGGGCTGTTGTACATAGGGTTGCAAGCGACTCAAGGGCACGTAACAACAACATGTAGTGTTTGTGAATTTTTTTGTCTAGTGTTGCATAATACTTCATTGTGTGAATGTAGTTTCTTACCTGTTTATCCTTTGATGGAGACATGCTATGTCATCTTGCTGAAGTCCTTTAACTTCTGTAAATCTCAATTTCCTTAAGCGAGTTTGTGGAAAGGGCTTGACCTAGGACATTATTTTCAAAATGGTTTCATTACTCTTTTCAGTACTTATTAATGTTTTTAATATATTCAGCACATTACTAAATTGCACAGTAGATGTCAAAATATTGTTATAAAATAGGACTGATATAAGAGTTTGGGATAGAATAGGAAAAGAGTGGATAGATAATGCACTGCCTTGGAACAAACAGATGAGGGGAAGAACTATGTGAGAACTGTATGAAAAGATGTATTGCAAAGTAAACTGGAGGAGGGAGGAAAATGTACAACAATGAATGAGTGAAAGCCCAACCTGTCTGTAAAATCACAATAAATGTTTTACAATTTAAAAATATTCACACTCACCATATTAGACTAGATAAATGCATGTCATTCTCTGGTACTCTTCCCTCACAGCATTAAGGACCCCTGGATATTGGTTCTGAAAAAAAAAAATGGTATAAATGGAAAGTATAAATAAATAAATATAGAATTGTTGGGGGATCAGTTCTAGGTGGAGGCAATTTAACCTTTGACAACAATTGGTTGGTTTTAGAAAAGGATCTTGAACTGACTGGGATTTCATTCCCTTGTCTTTGTAATGAAAGTGATCATGGAAGAATTATTTACATAATGAGATACAGTGATTCTATCCTTGCTCTTTTGAGAGTAAGAGTGTTTTTTTTAGTGAGCATTTCTAGTGCCAAAATAAAAAAATAATATTTCTGATTTCTCTCTTCATTTTTCATCTCCAGCATCCAGCTAAATGAGACTTAGGCAAAAATTTAATCCTTTTAGGAATGCTGCTTAGTGCCAGCTCCCTGCCTCTAGGGCAGGGCTGGGTTGAAACCCATAGAGTCCTACCTCCTCTGATAAGGCCATTTGGATCTTAGGGATTGGTTTCTAGAAGGGCCAATATAAAGAGCTGTGGAGTTTCATTCTTCTCACAGTTCCCAGTCTCAGCTCAACTTCTTGCCAAGCAAGACCCTCAACCTCTGCTCACCTTCAGATTCAGCTTGTCCAGACCAGTCTGCCTCAGAACAGGGATTACTTCTGTAGGTGAGTGTTGGCTCACTCTCTTTGGTTGGTTTGTTTCTCATTAATGTAGTCCTGTAATACTAACTCTTAACCCCTGCTCTAGCACATTACCCTGCTTTGCATGTAACTTTTGAACCCTCTTACCCTTCCTGATCTGCCAATCATTGACAATGGTGTAACAGGTAGCGGGAACTAGGAAGGAGGAGGCAGGGCTTACTAGGTGGTGCTGGGGAAGATGGAGGGGATGGCCTAAGGTAGCAGAGAATGACATTTGACCCTGTTGTGCAGAGAAATCTGGAGTACAACTACTTGGCCCACTGACTGGAAGAGATCTGTATTTGTTCCCATTCCAAAGAAAAGTGACTCGACCGAGTGTAGAACATCAAACAATATCATTAATACCATGCAAGCAAGATTCTGCTGAAAATTCCCCAAACAACTGGAAGAGCACATCAACAAAGAACTGCACCAGATGTGCAGGCTGGGTTTAGAAGGGGCTGTGGTAGTAGGGATATTGTAGCTAATGTTAGATGAATCTTGGCTGAAAGCAGAGGGTACCAGAGGAATGTCTGTGTTTCATTGACTATGCAAAGGCCAAGACAAAACACAAAGAATGTATAAGTAAACTGAGAGTGTAAAAGCAGGGGGGTAAGCAGTTCTCGAACAACACAGGGCCAACCTGAGCTACCCTGTGTCTTTATTGAAAATTGCCAGGGAGCAAGTCACCAAGAGAATTCAATTCAAACAAAGCTAAGCTCTTTCTATTGAAAACCTTGTACATGACTCAAGAGTGAGGAGTTTGCAAATACCATACAAGAATCCTGTAAACAATGATTGCCTTAGTGTCTACCACTGTAAACATTTAAGGATTGCCTTAGTGCTTCAGGGTTAATTCCAGCTTGTGTCAGCCTCTCTCATAACCTGAAGTAGCATTCGGTTTATTACAAATATTTAGTGTGAAATTTGGCTTCCCATAGGAATCCCAGAACACTTGATTGTGCTTATATGAAACCTATACTTGGGCTTGGAGTCAGTCATTAAAACAGAGCAAGGAAACAAAATTGGGAAGGATGTACATCTCTCTACCGTTTCAATCTATATGTGGAACAGACCATCTAGTAGGCTGGGCTCTATCAGGAGGAACGTGTCATCATGATTGGAAGAAGATGCATCGACAACCTGCATTATGCAGATGATGCAACCCTGCTTGCTGAAACTGGAGAGGACCTGAATCACTGACGGCAGAGGGTCAAGAACTGCAGCCTTCAATATGGATTGAAGCTTAACATCAAGAAAACAAAGAATCTCACCACTGGGCTAATTGGCATCATCATGGTAGATGGTAAAGAGATTGAGATTGTTTACAGTTTCTGTTTGCTTGGCTCCACAATCAACACTCCTGGTACCAGCAGCTGTTGTTGTTGTTATGTGCCGTCGAGTCGCCTGCAACTCATAGCAACCCTGTGTACAACAGCCCTAAACTCCGCTCTGTCCTGTGCCAATCGCACTGTCTCTGACACTCCCATCCCAATTATCCCAGTCACTGAATCAATCCACCTCATAGAGGGCCTTCCTCTCCTGCGCTGTCCCTCCACCCTCCCAAGCATGATGTCCCTAAGGACCGGTCTCTCCTCACAACATGTCCAAAGTATGTTAGACGGAGCCTCAGAATCCTTGCCTCCAAGGAGCCACCCAGTTTAACCCTTTCCAGGACAAATCTGTTTGTTTTCCTAGCAGTCCATGGTATTCTCAATACTCTTCTCCAGCACCACAGCTCAAAGGCATCAATTCTCCTTCTATCCTCCTTGGTCATTGTCCAACTCTCTGATGCCTAACAGTTGATTGCGAAGACCATGGCCTGTATCAGACGCACCTTAGTCTCCAAAGAGACACCATTGCTCTTCAGCACGTTAGAGAGGTCCCTAACAGCAGACTTTCCTATGGCAATGCGCCTTTTAATTTCCTGGCTGCTGGTGCCAAGACTGTTGACTATGGAGCCAAGCAAACTAAAGCTGTGTACAATCTCAATCTCTTCACCATCCATCCTGATGCTGCCAATTGGTCCAGTGGTGAGAATCTTTGTCTTCTTGACATTTAGCCTCAATCCATGTTGTAGGCTGCAGTCCTTGACATTCTGCACCAGGCGCTTCAGGTCCTCCTGAGTTTCAGCAAGCAGGGTTGTGTCATCCGCATAACACAGATTGTTGATAAATCGTCCACCAATCTTGACCCCACATTTCTCCTCATAGAGCCCAGCCTCCCGGATAATCTGTTCTGCATATAGGTTGAAAAGGTATGGAGATAGGATGCATCCCTGGCGTACGCCCTTCCCAATTTTGAACCATGCAGTGTTCCCTTGCTCTGTTCTGACGACTGCCTCCTGGTCCAAGTATAAGTTTCGCATTAGAATGATCAAGTGTTCTGGGATTCCCATTCTTCTCAGAGTCAGCCATAGTTTGTTATGATCTACACAGTCAAATGCCTTTGCATAGTCAATGAAACACAGATAGACATTCCTCTGGTATTCCCTGCTTTCAGCCAAGATCCATCTAACATCAGCTACAATATCTCTAGTACCACACAGCTAGGAAATCAAAACACGAACTTCATTGGGAAAGTCTCCTGTCAGGGACCCCACCAGAGTATTGAAGAACAATGATGTCAGTCTGGAGGCTGAGGTATGCCTGATCTAGGCCATGGTCTTCTCAATTACTTGCTGTGCATCAGAAAGCTGGATGGTGAGTAGGGATGATAGGAGAATTAATGCCTTTGAGCTGTGGTGCTGGAGAAGAGTATTCGGTATACCATGGACTGGTAAGAGAACAAACAGATTTGACCTAGAGAGGATGAAACCAGACTCCTTGGAGGCTGAGGCTTCGTCTAAGATACTTTGAGCATGTTGCAAGGAAGGACCAGTCCTTAATGAGGGAAATCATGCTTGGGAGCGTGGAGGGACAGTGCAAGAGAGGAAGTCCCTCAATGAGATGGATTGATTCAATGACTGGGGTAATGGGGATAGGTGTGTCAGAGACAGTAAGATTGGCTCAGAATAGAGCAGAGTTCAGGGCTGTTGTAATAGCATCACTGTGTGTTGCAAGTGACTCAGTGGCACCATAACAACATAGTGATAACCCCACTGGTGATCAGTGGTCAACAAAGTTATGGTCAGGAAAGGTGAAGTGGGATAATGGAGGTTGGGGGCTCAGGACAGGGGAAGTGGGAAATGCCATGCTGACATTAGTCTGTTTCTTTTTCTCTGCTGCTCTTTGGCGCCAGACTGAATTCTTGGCTTAGTGAATTATGTTAACTGGGTCTGTGCCTGTAAGCAGGGGAGGGAATTCTGAAAGGAAACTTAACTGAGTTGATTTTTCTTTTCATTACTGGGCTGGTGACCTGAAAAGGTTTTGGCCAAGCTTTCCTCTCCTATCTATCACAATTCTCATTTCATTCACTGTCCACTCCTGCCACACCCATACCAAGATGCTATTGCAAATTTTCTAGGACCACCACCACACTGGCTCTTATCAGTCTCATGAGTGTTGGACACAACGCTAGGGAGTGGCCAGCCATGTAGGCAAAACAAACCTGACCAAGAAGCTGATTCCTTTACAGCTAAACCTGGATGATGCTGTTCCATACAGGAGAAAGACTGTGAAACTGACTGGATAGCAAGTTGTAGCCACTGCCTGACACTACCTAGCCACGTACCAGAACCCATCAGCAGCCAAATGATTGCAGGTCAAGGACACAGTATGGACATGAGCACACCAGTGAGCACCTCAGCTCCTTTCTTCCCAACTTCGGGTGCAAGCAATCCTACATCTACTTTCTCTGTTGTGGATTATGTGGTGTTTGTGCTACTGCTGGTTCTCTCCCTTGTCATCGGGCTCTACCATGCCTGTCGAGGCTGGGGCCAGCATACCGTAGGCCAGCTGCTGATGGCAGACCGACAGATGAGCTGCTTACCTGTGGCACTGTCCCTGCTGGCCACCTTCCAGTCAGCTGTGGCTATCCTGGGTGTGCCATCTGAAATCTACCGATTTGGGACTCAGTATTGGTTCCTGGGCTGCTCCTATTTCCTGGGGCTGCTGATCCCCGCACACATCTTCATCCCTGTCTTCTACCGCCTGCGTCTCACCAGTGCCTATGAGGTGAGTGAGGAGGAAGGGTGGAGCATGTGGGAGAGCAACATCCAGGATGTAGGACCAAGGCACTTAGAATGGATCTGAAGCCTGAGTCTCATTGAACACATCATGTGTTTGCAAATTCTTCCTGGGTGAGGTTAGGGTAGGGGGATAATACTGAGTAGAACCTAGAATGGGTAGAATTTGGAAATTCTCTCATGCTCATGGACCTTTGAAGAAAGTTATGTGTTTTAATCATGGGTGAGGAGAAACAATTTTTCACCCTTTATATCTTTGCACAGTACCTGGAGCTACGATTCAATAAAGCAGTACGGATTTGTGGAACTGTGACCTTCATTTTTCAGATGGTAAGTGGAAAGAGGGTAAAAATCAATCACAGACAGGGAAGCTCTGGTGGCCTAGTGGCAAGAAGCTGCACTGCAATCCCAGAGGCTCTGCCGGGAAAGGAGAGACAGTCTCCTCCTGTACCAGTCAGATCCGATTTGACGGTACACGTACGTGTACACACACACACACACACACACACACACACATTTTTAAAAATCAATCAGAGACATGATATAGAGACCTGAACTTGGGAATGTTGAGGCAGCTGTAACCGTCCCTGTGTCAGACTGGCAGTGTTGAAATTCTTACTGGGGCTTAGTGTCACTCAAACGCTCAGGGACATCCCACTGACCATTCTAGCACAGATACGGTTGAGAAGTCAAGCCTAAATTTGAGAGCAAGTGAAGGTGGAGGGAAGTGAACTTGATGAGAAGAAGCCAATGGGATGCTGGAGCTAAGGCCTCTCTATTTCTCTCTTCCCACCTTCATCTCCTCTCCCCCTCACATTCTCTTTTCGTACTGAACAGGTGATCTACATGGGGGTTGTGTTGTACGCACCATCATTGGCCCTCAATGCAGGTGAGAAGTCACTGCCTTTGACTTTCTGTCTTGTTGGGCTGGGGAAATTTCTTTGTGAGGGAACCAGGTAAGGAAGGGAGAGTATAAAGGAAAGAATTTGGCTTTGACCACAGGGTTATTTCACAGGATAGGCCCTTGGGCTGGTCTTTGCTAGCAGCAGAAGCAGTCTTAGTTCACTGCACTTGCAAACTAATAAAATATTATTCTACCTCATTTGAATTGGTTAATCTATACCTTTCAGTAGACCTCTGCTGGGATCTTTCTTTTAATCATGGTGAATGATTTATTTCATCCTTAATGACATTATCTCTTGATCTCTCATGTCTGAGCGTCTCAGAGACTGTCCTCAGAGCTCTTCTGACTGGGAAACAGTCTTTCAGAGATACAAATGTGACTTTTATTTGCTTACAGTGACTGGCTTTGATCTGTGGCTGTCAGTGCTAACCCTTGGCCTTGTCTGTTCTGTCTATACTGCTCTGGTAAGTATAGTCATCCCTAGGGGACAGAGATGGTGAGCAGTAATGAGATGGGAGAAGGAAGGAGGAATAAAATAAGAGGTGAGGGGATGTGAGATGATAGGATGAAATTCTAGGGGTGGGATCAGATGAGATACAGGAGATGCTATGGGACAATGAAGAGTGGGGGGACATCACAGAAGAGGAAGACCTTGGATGAGATGGATTGACTCAGTGACTGGGGTTATGGGGGTAGGTGTGTCAGAGACATGTGGTTGACTCAGGATAGAGCAGGGTTCAGAGCTATTGTACATAGGGTCGCTATGAGATGCAAGTGACTCAGTGACACAACAACAACATGGAATGATAAGCTAGTAACAGAAAGTAGTTAGGATGAGGTGAGTTTGCTAGCTACGTAGGAGATATAGTGGGAACTGTTTCAGCTATTATGCCCTCAGGGGACAGCATAGTATCCTCATTAGTGGATTGATGAGTCTTCACTAGTGGCTGGTTTAGAAGACTTCAGGACAGCTGCACTGCCTTCTTCCTGCAGGGTGGCCTGAAGGCTGTCATCTGGACAGATGTGTTCCAGACACTGGTCATGTTCCTAGGGCAGCTGACAGTTATCATCGTGGGCTCGGCTAAGGTGGGCGGCTTGGGGCGTGTGTGGGAGGTGGCTTCCCAGCATGGTCTCATCTCTGGGATCGAGTAAGTACACCCCTTCCTTGGATGAGTTCCGCGGTGTCTGTGAGCAGTCCCATCCTGGCCTGATGTCAGGGCTGCAGTGACAGAGGGCGAGCTGTGGGGGTGTCATGTGGGCCACTGAGGCAGGCAGGAAGCTTGTATTGGGGGTGGGGGGGTGTAAGGGCAATTCCAGGCTGGTGGTAAGTGGGGATTAGGCCGGGCTGATCACCAAGGTGGGGCTGTGGGTTGGAGAAGTAGAACTGCTGCCCTGGCTCAGCCCAGGCCTGGTGTCTCTGTACTCTGGCCCCTGTTGTTAAGAGGCTGGTCCTCTTGAGACTGTGGCACAATGCTGGGGTGGCATCTGTTGCAGGCTGGATTCTGACCCTTTTGTGCGGCACACTTTTTGGACCCTGGCAATTGGGGGTGTCTTCATGATGCTCTCCCTGTATGGGGTGAACCAGGCGCAGGTGCAGCGCTACCTCAGTTCCCGCACAGAGAAGGCTGCAGTGCTGTGAGTGCAGGGATGGGGTGGAAGGGCAGCAGAGGCTGGGGAGGGGGGGCTGGAGCAGGCGCGTGCCTCTTGGTTCTTCAAATACGCTGAGGAAGGATGGGATACGCACACATCCCCTGAGATCAGCATGTGGGTCCCCTTTCTGGAAGTGCCTGGTGTGTCTGTTCAGCCTACCACCTGCATCAGCACTGTCTTCTCTTGTAGTTCCTGCTATGCAGTGTTCCCTTGCCAGCAGGTGGTCCTCTGCATGGGCTGCCTCATTGGCCTGGTCATGTTTGCCTATTACAAGGAGAATCCTATGAGCATCCAGCAGTCCCAAGCAGCTCCTGACCAGGTGGGTGAGACAACCAGTCCCCCATCTCATGCCCATGAGAGGCCATTCTGGACCCCAAAGAGAATGTCTGGTTGGCCTTAGAAGGGACTCCTGCTCTGGGTGAGAGAGAGATCTAAGTCCTTTCCCATACTGAGATTTTGGGGATTTTAGCAGGTGATGGTCCGTCGTTCCCCCCCCCCGACCCCATCACCTAATTGTAATACTTACTCTGCTGGAGGTAGGACCTGCCCTTACTGAGCTCTCCTGGGAATTCTCCCAAGTCTAGTGTCATCTAGCCTCCCAACAGCCTTATTTCACTGAGGAGGAAATGGCCCCCATACTCCCAGTAAAGTGACTGGGGTGCGAATCATTCTCAGAGCCTAGTTTCTTCCTGTTTCCTTTTGGGTCACTCAGAGCAAAGATGCCTCTATGCCTGGCACCCCTTTCTGTGAAGCATCTTAGTAACATCTTGTCTCCAGAAGGAATCCTCTCTCAGGGTGTGTTCACCTCTGCTCTGCTTGTAGTTCGTCCTGTACTTCGTGATGGATCTCCTGAAAGGCCTGCCGGGCCTGCCTGGGCTCTTTGTCGCCTGCCTCTTCAGTGGCTCCCTCAGGTACCCCCTCCACCACTTCCCTCAGGCTTGTGAAACTGCCCCTTGCTTGGTCCAAGGTGACAGGTGGAGGATGGATCCCTCTGAGTATCTCATTGTGCCTGTCCCACCAGAGGATGACAAGGGACAAATTGTCTGTGCAGGACAGCGCAGATTCTCCTAGAAGAGACCCCTTTTTGGTTATATGTTCCTTTTATAGCGCCTAGAATTGACGTACTCAAACATACAGTATCCACAGAAAGAGAAGGATAAGTGACGTTGCCTTTCAGGCATCCTCTAAGGTAGCTTTAGGTGACAATTAAAGGTGGGTTTTTTGGCTGCTGCACATGTCATATCTCTCACCTTTAGGGTGTTGTTGTATATCGTTGAGTCAGAACCAACAAATAGCTGACCCTCCAGTGGGTTTTCAGAGACAGAGGAGATTGCCCATTCTTCTCCCACATTAGAGTGTTAGTGCCTCAAAATACAAGAATTTCTTTCTACTCTTGCCTTTCTCAGCTGTTGGAGTCAAGACAGCTTGTCATTGTTTTCCTTTCCAGCACCATATCTTCAGCTTTTAATTCACTGGCAACCGTTACAATGGAAGATCTGATTCGCCCCTGGTTCCCTGAGTTCCCTGAAGCCCGGGCTACCAGGCTTTCCAAAATTCTCGGTGAGATATTTCCTCGTCACTTCAATCTTGTCCTTTCTAAGAATCTTTGGTCCGGAGCTTCGGTGGCCTAGTGGCAAGAAGCTACACTGCAATCCCAGAGACACGCAATTCAAATCCACCAGATGCTCTGCTGGAGGAGTAGGGGCAATCTCCTCCTGTACCCGTCAGATCTGATTTGACGGTGTGTGTGTACACACACACACACACACACACAATAAAATTAAAAAAATCTTTGGTCATCACCTGACACGCTATGGCTACTGACTTGCACTCACTCAGAAGTGACTCATAGCTGACCCTCCAGTGGGTTTCAAGATGGCATAGGAGGAATTGTCTTTCTTCCTCAGAGCAGCTGGTGAATTTGAACTACTTGTCTTTAGATTGACAGTGAAACTCCTTCCCCACTAGGCCACCACAACTGCCTGCCTACTGGCTTTAGGCTGCTTTAAAGCACTTTGGGTTCAGCACTTAACCGAAGCCCAAAGCTTCTCTATATCATTGTGTAGATCTCAGAGCATTTCCTGCAGCCATCTGAGTCACATAAGAGCAAGGACAAGGTAGGTGAGAGGATCCTGGAGAAGGGACATGAAGGAAGTAATGTCACCTGCTTCCAGGGGCACAGAAATAGTAGTTTGCAAGGGAGGGAATCTCTTCTCTACCCCTCCCTCCCTCCTTTTCTTACACTGTAGGAGTCTTGGTGACACACTGAGTTTAGTGATGGTGCTACTAATGAGGAGGTTCGTGGTCCCACCTTCCTGATAGAAGAAATACAAGGCAGCCTACTCCTGTAATGATGGGAATTCTTGGAAATCCTGTGCGGAAGGAAGTTCTCTCACAGAGTCTCCAGGAGTCGGTGCCTCAGTGGCTGGTCCCTGGGGAATTTTACCACTAATTCAAAGACTGGACCTCCCGGGCAGTTCACATCCCACCAGCACTCCAAGGGAGAAAGATTTCAGAGGCTACAAATTGCATGGACAGTGTCTTCCCTTGCACTTTACAGCCTCTGAAAACCCACTGGAGGGTCAACTATGAGATATTTCTGACTCAGAAAGCGAGCGAGTGGGGGAGTGATGAGTCAGAGTTATACCCATGGCTGTGGCTTTGGTTTTAGTTGTGTACGTTCACGTGTGCTTGTTTCTTCTCTTTCCCCCCTAGCCTTTGGCTATGGACTGCTTTGTCTGGGAATGGCCTTTATTTCCTCCCAGTTGGGGCCTGTGCTGCAGGTAAGTACCCCGGAGAGGGAAAGAGTTAAAAGAACTGAAATAGTTGAGGAAGACAGCCATTTTGATGGAAAAGACACAGAAAACAGATAAAATGCTCTGATTCACCAGTTTTCCCACAGAATAGTTTCAAGTAGCCAGTGTCATTTCTAGACCCCATTGCCTCAGAGGTGCTAAGAGAAGAATGATGCAGTAACCTTCCCTGCTGTCTGGAACCCTGAGTGTGATGGCTCCCAGAGAGGACGATATGAGAGCAGGGCGCTGTGGCAGTGGTGGTGGCCACGCTGCATGTCTGGGGGCTGGTGACTAAACCTTTGTGTTTTCCCTAGGCAGCACTCAGCATTTTCGGTATGATTGGAGGGCCGCTCCTTGGACTCTTTTGCCTTGGAATGTTCTTTCCTTGTGCCAACCCCCTGGTGAGTGACCCAGTCAGCTCAGTGCTCTGATGGAGGGGGTGGAACAGGGAGTTGTTTGGCACTATTCTCCCCTTCGGGCTGAAGGTTTGATTGTCGGGAGGTGTGGTTGAGGCAGCGGACAGCAAAGCCTGGCATGGTGACATGACTCTGGACAGGGAGCCATAGTGGGCCTGTTGACTGGACTCGTCATGGCCTTCTGGATCGGCATTGGGAGCATAGTGACCAGTGTGGCGGCCTCTCCCGCTAACGTTTCCAGCATCCTCCTGCCTGGCAATCTGACCACCATCCCCATGACCACACTGATGCCCTTGACCACTCCCTCCAGGTTAGTGGGCGCACTTTCTCCTTGGGAAGAGGGTAATTTCTGAGGGAATACCCAAGGGTGGAGCCACTTGAGGCCTCAGAGAAGTAGGGTATTTGAGTCCTAGGACCCTAGGTCCCTGTAGGTGGAGGGGCCTAGGTGGCTGGGAAATCCTGTGACCTGACCTGCTAATTGTCTTCATCCCTCTGTTCTTCCAGGCCTGTAGGGCTGCAGCGGCTCTATTCCCTGTCTTACTTATGGTACAGCGCCCACAACTCCACCACTGTCATTGTGGTGGGCTTGATTGTCAGTCTGTTCACTGGTGAGGGACATGGGATGGGGACTGAGGGAGGGCTCAGAGAAACTCAAGTCTGGGGGAGACCCTGCCCTTCTAGTTCTAAGGTGTCTGTGGTAGTGTAAAATATTGGCTGATCCAGGAGGTGGGCTTGGGGTGTGAGAACTATGGGGCCCTGGAGGACAGAGGACTTGTTGAGTGTGGACTGGTCACTACTAGCCAACTCAGAAGCACCTTTGTCTCTAGGAGGCATGCGGGACCGGAACCTGAACCCTCAGACCATTTACCCCGTGTTGCCAAAGCTCCTCTCTCTCCTGCCCTTGTCCTGCCAGAAGCGATTCTCCTGTGGAAGCTGTAGCCAGGTTTGTCATCCACATTATCCTCTCCCATCATTTCTGTACACATTACCTTACATGTCACTTTCTCTTCCTTGTCTTCTGCCCCTTCCTGTCCTCCGTCCCCTCTCTAATTTCTTCCCTATGTGTGGTCACATGCAGCAGCCCCAGCTCTTCCACAGGGGCCTCAGGCTTAGGAGAAGGCCCTCGGGCTGGGAGAGCAGCTGAGGGCCACCGCCCACATCTGTGCCCCTCTTCGGGCTTGCTTGCTCTTTCACTTCTCCTAGCAGGGATCCTGGCAGTCATTCTTTCCTGCTTTAGTTTCTTCCCAGCCCCTTCACTTTGTACTCAAGCACCTCCACTCCTCCCCACTCAGCACACCACTTAATGTGTGTATCGTTCAGGACCTCCCCGTGGACACTGCTGCCTTTCCAGAGAAGATGAGTAATGGCATGCTGTGGGACGGCAGAGACAAGGAGGCCCTGGCAGTGCCTGAGGAAGGTTCACCTCACCAGCCCAGCGGTCCCACCTTCATTGTCCAAGAGACCTCACTGTGATCTGAACTCAGGAGCCAAGCCTCTCCACGGTCTGCAGGTGTCATCCAGCAGTCACTCTCTAGTGCAGGGATGATTCATCTGGCATGTCCCGCAAGTGGTTAAGGACTCGGAGGGCCCAGCCCACCCCAAAGGACATTGTTCTTTGAGGCTCTAGCCTTCAATAGAAGTTGTCCCATCATGCGGGTGTGAAGATGGAGTAGGGTTTTTCCTTTTCCCTAACTGCTCTATTTTTTAGAGGACCAGACTACTAAGGGGGCAGGCTTGTGCCAGAAAAGAGGATAGAAGGTAAATCCTCTGAGAAGAGGACAATGCCTTCTACTTCACCATGGCCAAATGCCTCGGAACTCAATAAAAACAGCAGTTCTGAATCTAACTGCCCTAGGGCCCCAATGGCAAGATTAACAACCCAGCGAGCTGCCTTGGTCAGCTATTGTTTCCCTTGCAGTCTTGTCTAAGCACAGATTCTGTCAACCCCAAAGTACTCTTTCACTACTCAGGTTTTCTTCGACATCTTGGTCTTTTTTTTTTTTTTCCATCTCTACCTACCTCCATTCTTGAGAGGGAAGGGTTTGGTGCTGCTGGTACCTCTTAGAATACAGAAGAATGTTTCTTTCTTGTGTAGTGTTCCCCACAGCACTGCCCTCCCCCTTCACTATTGACTCACAGAAGCTGATGGCATGAACAGAACCGCTGGAGCACCAGCCCTTGACTTGTGCCCCATGCCACCTAGGGGCATGTTGTCACCTGGACTCCTGTTCTGTTTTGGAGTTTCTTCCCCCAGATGTTTGTTTCTAGGGAATAAAATTGCCATTTGACTTGTAACGTTGGCTTCCATACTGTGTGTCTGCCTGCTCTTGTCTGCCAATGCCATCCCTTGGGCAGGATCGAGCCCCCGCCTGGTGAACCAGATGTTCGTCCACTGCTGAGGAAGTTCGTGTGGTGTTCACCAAGATGGACGGTGCACACTCTCCCCTGTGGTTTAGTCAGTCCCATCAGGCTCTTTGTGTCCTTGTCAAGATAATCCCTATGGCCCTGAGATTTTAGCTTTTCAGACAAGAGGAAGAAGGTTGCCAGCAGGATATTTCAGACATGTAAGGTAGACTTAGGGTCGTGTGAGTAGCACTGTTTAGTTTCTCTGGTTTTCCAGAAACAGTTCTGGATACGCTGTCCAGGGTCCCTCAGCAGTTACTGGATTCAGGCAGAGACTTGGTGACCTTCAGCCACAGTCCAGCTCCCCTCCTACATTCTGTGCGACACAAGCCTGGGACATTGTTTTTCTCCTTTTCTGTCTCCATCTGGCTCTGTTACCTCCACAGCCCCATTTATTCTATAGTGATGAAACAGCAGCACATGACAGAACCCAGACCCCCAGCCACTTTCATCTCATCTAGAACATAGTTTATTTATTTTTTAGAACATAAGTTTATGGTGGCTCCTAAGACCATCCCTAAACTGGGCCTTAAACTTGTTTTCCTGCATTTATTCCAAGCAAGATTGGAATTTACCATAAAATTCTTTTTTGCTATAGCCTTGAGATAAAAGCATGACCATTCCTAGAAAGTTACTCTGAAGATCCTTTTAGAAGTACCTTTTAGGTGCCTGGGGAGGGACCCCAGGGAGAATTAGGAGAATGAGATCCTCAGGATGTGATTTGCAGAATTGGGGAAGAAAAGGAGTCCACTGTAGAGGCTTTACAATTGGAAAAATAAAAGTTACATAATGGAAATCCTGTAATTATTCAGACAAGATGCACTATTAACAGCTTCTTTGGGAATATAATAGTATCTGTCATGCCAGGCCTCCAATTTTAAGCCTTATTTGCCTCTTTGTACAAGTTCCTGATCTACTTATAAGAAAACCTGGGCAGCAAATACTGAGCCTTTCTGTGAAAACAAGTGGAGCTTCATAGCTCAAGATACGAACAAGGATTATCACCAAAAATTAGGGAAGGTTATCTGCTCATCTGGGTTCCTGGGGCTTGACTTCTATTGACAGCCCTTTTCTAGGCTGTCGCAGGTAGAATCAAGAACAGGGTGTCAGCATAGAGTCACAGGGAGCCTTTGTGTGAGACACTGGAATGTCACGAGGTGCCAGTTGGCTCCCGCTCATATCAACTCCATGTTCAATACACTGAAACACTGCCTTGCCCTGTACCATTCTTAGTCACCACTGTGCGTAAGCCCGTTGTTGGAGCCACTGTATCATTCCATCCCACTGAGGGCCTTATTTTTCATTGGCTCCCTGCATTAAGCATGCTGTATTTCTCAGATGTCTGGACCATCTTGATAATGTGCCCATGTATTTAAGTTCCAAGTCGCATCATTTTCACCTCCAAGGAATATTCTGGTAACACTACTTCCTTCCAAGATATTTTTATTTTGTTCTTTTGGCAATCAATGGTAAATGCAATATTTCCTGCCAGCACCTCAATTCAAAAGCATTCGTCTTTGATCTTCCTTATTGTCCAGTTTTCTCATGTATTTAAGGTAATTGAAAAGAACCATGTCTTGAATCAGGTGCACCTTAGTCCTCAAAGTGCCATCCTTGCTCTTTCGCACTTTAAAGTTCTTTAAGGCAATCTTTTACAAAATGTTTGTCCAATGTAAGATGTCATTTGATTTCTTCACTGCTGCTTCTGTGAGTGTTGATTGTGAATTAAATAAAATCCTTGACAACTTCAATCTTTTCTCCATTTTTGTCGTGATAGTGTTCATTAAGGGGGAAAATTATTTTTTAAATTTCATTAATTTTAGTGAACATTTACAGAGATTTCGGATTTCCATTCATTCATTGTTGCACTAGGGGGAAAATTTTTGTTTTATGTTGAGCTGTAATCCATAGTGAAAAGTCTTTGAGCTTCATCAGTAACTGCTTCAAGTATTCATTTTCAACAAGCTAAATTGTGCCATCTGTGTAATACTGCGAGTGATTAATGAATATCCCTCCAATTCTGATGCTGCAATCGTTATTCAGTCTGTATGCTGAGACACTGGGATAAGAAGTAACAATGCTCTCAATAGCCTCATGAGCTGATTGCAGCCCTTGGAGCCGAGAACTCTGGCCCTTTCCCTTGTCTGTCACAAACCCTCCTGGTGCCTCTTACCCTTCATCTGTGTCAGTGCTAACCCCTCACCCTGGGTGCTCTAAGAACTGCCCATCCTTCCAGCAGTCCCAGGGATCCCAGACTAGCGTTGCCCTAACCATTGCCCTCCTCTGGCAGCAGGTCACATGGGAGCCCAGAGGGCACTGCTGGAGTTTTAGACCTAACCTGGCCCTTCATTTGTCCATTCTTGAATGCATTAGTTAGTCAACTGCCTGGATTGTTGGAGAAAACTACTCTGCCCAGCTCAGGGCCATGGTGTAAAATCAGTATTCCAGTTGTTCCATTTATTCTAAACTCTTGCATATTAGCTATCTTAGTGTATAAGGAGAGGGGGAGGGAAGCCCTACTAAACCCTTAAAAACTTATCTTCTGTAATGACTACACAGAACTCACACATGATAAAATCATGGAGTTTTTAGGGGTTTAGAGAAATGGTGAGTACCTAGGGAGGGATGTTTGGTGTTGGGATTGAGAAAAGGCCTCAGCATGTCTAAGCTCATTGGAATCAGCTTTGCGCTGTTCTTCTTGGATGGGAATTCCTTCCCCTTTCTGAGGTTGGGGAGGTCAAACCCAGCCTCATTCACACTCTGCACTATTTTCACAAATATTTAAAAATGCCTCTTTGATGCAGTCTAATAATGTATCCTAAGTTGTCACTCTCTCCATCCATTCTAAAACTATGAAGTGGCATATTAATACTTGGGGCTGTCTAGTATGAGATGTCAGTGAATTAAGGAGGCCATGCACAGGAATGGCCCTGGCTGGCATGTCATAGCCTGAGGGCAGTGAGGAGGACGTCAACACAGACGGGGCCTCCTGGTGTGGGTGTTGGAGAAGGTGAGGAGGCCTTTCTGCTAGCGAAGAAGGTCCAGTGCAAGGTTTCACACCTAAATTTGGGGGAGTTTGATGTGGATGTCAGAGCTTCAGCACGGTGATGAGGGCTCCCCAAGTCAGTGGTTGGCACGGTTGTGAGAGCCTGAGCAAAAGGAAAGCATGCCTGGATGCGTGAGAATACATTCACAAAGAAAGTCAGAACCCAAACCCAATGAGAGCCTCTATACGTGAGAGGAGCCCAGCCTGGGGTGAGCAAGACATCTTCACCTGCATACGGTAGGTCGTCCCATTCATATCAGGTAGGAGCTAAAGTAAGGTGAAAAGGTCATCCACTATGGAGGCAGTCTGGTGGGGTTACAGAGCCCAAGAGGGGTGATGAGGGTACCCATAAAATGTCATCCCAGTGCACGGTTTTAGAACAAGGAGGGCCACTGAAAATATGATTGTTTGGGGCTTTATTACATACAGAGAGATTAATCATATAATGGAAGGGTAATATGAGTTAGGTTCATTGTTGGTTTTACATTTATGAAAAGGAAGAAAACAAGAATGAACACTGGTGTTGAGCTGGAATAGAAGATGCAATTATGTATTCATGGTTTCCAATTTCTATTGTTGAATATGTTTGGAAGTAACTTGATATATTGAAAGGATCTGGGAGCAGTAGTTCCTCAATAACAAGTACATTTATGTCTAGCAATTGCTTCTAAGAACGATTCTGCATTAAAATAGCTTGGACAAACTATTCTAGGGCTCAGCTGAGGTTTACCTGAAACCTAGAAAGCAAAATAGATCTCAAGAAATGATGAAATCATTTAAAAATTATACAAAAGTCAGTTTACAGGGTCTCCTAGGGCCCACATGTGGTACAATCTGATCATCAAAATAGGAGCAATGGGTAAGAACCCATTGAATAAAGAAAGAAAATCCTAGAGAGCTCTGGTGGCCTAGAGGCAAGAAACTGTACTGCTATTCCAAAGGCACATTGTTCGAATCCACCATATGCTTTGCTGGAGAAGAAAGAGTAATCTCCTCCTGTGCCAATGGGATACACAATAAGAAA